CCAGCATTGTCTGGAGACCAGCAGTGTAGACAGGGTGACATATTCCATAGTGGCTAGTTAGTCAATGAGGTTAGTGTTCTTCATTCAGCTTCCCACTGTCGGGTTAATTGTTCCTAGCAGCCTAGACTCAATTCTTGCCCACAAAGCACATTTTCACAGTGGCTTTGTAAACATTTTTTTCTACCTTAAAGGGTTTCCCACTGGAGAAGTCCCATATTCTTCTACCCCATTTCTTTTTTTCTTTTTTTGGTGGTGCTGGGAATGGAACACATGGCCTTGTGTATGGTAGGCAAGTGCTCTGCCATTGAGCTACATCCCAGACCCACCCCATTCCTTTGGAAACCCTCTTTGCAACACTATCTCAACACCAGCCTTGCAGAAGCAAACAGATCCTCAGCCTTCCCCTCCTCCTCAGGGAGGGCTAGAAATCTTTGGCTCTCCTGGCTCGTGTGAGCTTTGTAAGATCACATTCCATGGCACTGCTAGGCTTTCGCTAAACCTAATGCTGCTCTTTGAGCTTAATTTTAATTGGCTTACAAGCAGTAATGCAGGATGAAATCCATCTTCCTTCTTCCTCAATTTCAATTTCTGATGTTCAAAATGGAAAGTGTTTGCCTTTGCCTAAGCTGACAGTAACCCTTCTCCAAAGAAGCTGCTTTATAATCAGTTCCTAAAAAAGCTGTTCAGAATACAGGTGAGAATTTGAAAATCTACAAAGAGGTTTACCAAACACTGTTTAACATTGACTCAGATGAGATCATGAAAATTGTCTGTGCTGCTGTTCTCGCCTTCCACAGCTCACTCCCACCCTCCCTTTTCATTTCCCAAACTGTTTTAGGTAGAGAGGTCATTTCCCAGCTGCAGGTGATTCTGGGTCCCACTCCCGGCAGGATGAGCTGAGAATATTCACAAGCCTTCTACCCCACAAGAACATCCGCTATCTAGTGCAACTTGTGAAACTCAATACAGGGTTCTCAAAATACTTCCCAGCTCTGCCCTGCAGGGACCTTATCATCATCACATGCTGATGGAAAACCGAGAAAATGGAAGCAAACTTCCCTAAACCAAGCATGATTTTCCCTGCTCACATGCTTCACACCCCACTGAAAGTTGGAAAAGAGCCACGTGAAAACCAGTGCACGCCTTAGAGCTACCTGCTAATCCTAACTCAGATCTAATCACACAGTAGGAATGTGCTCACTTGTGTTCATGGCATTGCTGAATTGTGTGTTCAAAGCTAAGTTTGCTCAACTAGATAAACTGGTTGGCTGCAGAATAGGATATCTGCTCTTGCTCATTTGTTTTATGTTCAGAACAGGTTATAACTTCCATTGTTGCTGTAGAGAGTCTCACAAATGAGCACAAGTGGCTTTATCACAGCACTAAGGTTCAGAACAAACTGGACACATTGCCCCAGGCAAGAGGTAAACTGTGAAGAAATGCTCAGCTGAAAGAATGTTCTCTAAAGTCCTCTCTTCCTCTTCAGTGTTTCTTCATACCTTTCCCAACACAAGCTCAAAAAGAGGAGAAGAAAGAAAAGTGATGGCTCAAATCATGACCATTGTGCAGTTTTGTAAAAGCACAAATGTTTTAGTTTTCATTAGAGAAAAAATACAAAATTAAGCCTTAGGGCAAAAGAAATTTCACACAGACATACATTGCTTTGACTATTTTTTCCCAAACCAAGGAGGGATTTAAAGAAAGGATTTTTCATGTTTCCCTGTGGGACTATTTCTTCTTGCCAAGGCAGGAGCCACACTGACCTAAACCTCTGATCCATGCCTCCTTTCTCCTCCCAGAGGTAGAGTGGACTGTAAAAGAGTAACCAAATCCCACTATGGAGTCTGTGAATGTTGGATGTGCCCAAGCCAGTAGACTTCATGGATAGGCAATAGACAGGCTAAATATTAAAGAATATGTAGAATTTTTAAATAAGAGTCTTGTTTTTTTATTTGTAATGTTTTTATAATATTAAATATATATCTGTATACAGAGCATGTCCTTAAAGGGATAGTTCACATTGACATGTTTAATTTTAATATTTGAATGCTCTGTTTTGATTTTAAATAATATCTCAGATTTGATTGTTTTTCTCATAAACATTTGGGAATGTTTATTTTAGAAATTACAGGAATTGAAAAAAGAACAGTCTTGCCACGTAACACAACCAGTGAGACAGCCTTTCACCTGTCGTATTCTCAGACAGAAGGCCCATAGTCACAGAGCTGGTCCCTTGCCCAGAGGGTTGCATTGTGCAGGCAGAAGTTAGGTACGGGAGGCAAGACTTCCTCTCTCCTTAGAGTTTAGTATGGTGCAGCTCCTCAAGAGTTCTGTCACCCCTTCTCCTTCCAGGTGGCCACTTGTGAGTGTGGCCTCTGCCCTCTGCTAGCCCAGGTGTACCCCATGCGTCCATGTGGCCCTCTTGCTCTTCCTGACCTCCAGTTCTAGGCTGCCAAGGTCAGATTAGGATGGGGCGAGCCAGTGCATAGGGGATCTGAGCAAAGAAAGGGGAACATCTGGACCCAGGCAGAGGTCACCTACCCCCAGCCTCACGAAGATGAATGGGAGCAGTGGGTGTCAGGTAAGCATCTGCGTACTATTAATCTTTCCTTTTATGAACATTTGTGGATGTAATTTACAAATAAAAAAAAAACAAACAGAAAGCAACAGGAATCAAGGGCCTAAACAACTGCCACCCCAAGTTCTAACACAGTGCTCCCCTAACCCTACCACCCTGCTCTAGAGACCATCCCAGTAATTGCTAAGGTAATGTCTTACAGGGTCCACGCAGAAGCCAGTAACAGTACTCTGGGCCTCAAAGGCCCAGGTGGGACTGACCACCATGTGTCACTGCCTGTCCTTAGAAGATGAGGCTGATGGCCCTCCTGAGGGTGGTGAGGAAAGCTCTGAGGTACAGTAGGAGGTGGGCCTCAAAGGCCCAGGTGGGACTGACCACCATGTGTCACTGCCTGTCCTTAGAAGATGAGGCTGATGGCCCTCCTGAGGGGCTGGTGAGGGGAAGGAGCTCTGAGGGTATGCAGTAGGAGGTCCGACACTGTGTGGTTTCCTGTTTCCTCCACATTCTTTTCTACAATTACTGCATGCCCTCAGTGTCGAGATTCTCAAAGCACTGCAGCATCAATGTATGGTTAGCCTTCACACGAGGACTAAGATGACCTCTTAAGATTGTATGGCTGTGCCTGAGGCAGAGCCACACACAGCCCTTCTAACAGGTGAGATTCTACCTCTGAATCATGACAGGTAAGTCATCATATGCTCTACCTGAGCAGATAGAATCTTCTACCTAAATCTGCTCTTGTGTCTGGCCGTGATGATACTTTAATTCCTATATTCTGACTTGCTTTTTATTTGGAGTTTGCTTTCAGTCAGTGACCTCCTCCACACCCTGACGCTTCTGCTTCCCGGTGATGCAATGAAACGATTTCTTTCCACTGGTAAGTTGTATCATTCTCAAGCATTCAATTGCATTTTTACAACAAACATTGACAAACACATATAAACTAGGACGAACCCCATTTTTGAGGAAACAGTTTCAGAGAGGCTTTATGGTTTGTCAAACTAGAAAGTGATGAAATGAGAGTTAGGGCACAACTCCTACTCCAAATTCTGTGCTTTGAGCAGTGGCCCACTAGGGCCTCTGCAGGCCATGCAGCTGTGTGCTGAGACTGGACTTCTGCAGTCCATTTGAGAAGTGTGTGAAGTCTGTGATCCACAGAGGGGCATGACTACAGTGTGCCTGATGACAGCTGCCTCATGGGAGGGGAGGGAGGCACATCTAATCTCAAAGGTGACAATAACGAAGACCAGGTTGAATAAAACCCAAAAACCTTGTGCAGTAGGATTGAGAAGTAAGAAAGAACAGTCATTGTAAACAGGCATTTCAGTCCTGGTAACTTGGGAGAGGTGACACCAACAACAACAAGGGTGAGAGACAGAGATGCTGGCTATGGCCTGGAGGTGGCTGGGAAGGGGTCTCAGAGGAAGTCGTTCAGTAGAATGCCAATAGTGGCAAGCTGGGAAAGCTGCATAGAGGTGGCAGCCAGCTGTTGGTGCTGAATATCATTGTTCAGGGTTGGAAACAGGCAAAAAGAGTGGTAAATTCTGGATTCTGGTCTTTTCAGAATACTCTGAGCTGTGACTTTTTTCTTTTTTTTTTTGTAGTACTGGGGTTTGAACTTATTGTCTAGCACACCCCAGTTCTTTTTGCTTTCATTCAGGTAGGGTCTCATGCTGTATGCCCAGTGCAGGCCTCAGACCAAGATCCTCCTATCTAGACTTCCTGCATAGCTGGGATTACATTTATGAGCCACCACACCTGGCTTGTTGCAGAGATGGGGTCTCTGAAACTTTTTGCACAGACTGGCCTTGAACCACAATCTTCCTGATCTCTGCCTTCCAAATAGCTGGGATTGCAGGCATTTGCTTTTGCACCCAATTTAGCTGTGGCTTTCTTATGTGGTGAAATTTATTTCAGTCCTTGACTTCATTTTGGGATTACTTACAAAAGAGAGTATTGAAAAAATCATGCTAGTATCTGTGCCTCACTCCTCAAGTGGACCCTCACTAGCCAATTCCATTTCAGTAAAAGAACCAGGGCTATGAAACCCAGCTCCCTACTCGCTTCTTTTTCATTGAGGAAGTGATCTTAAGTTCTCCAAATGTTTAAATGATTATTTTTACCTCTCTGCATTGTTGGTTACCAACCTCTTAGAATGACTTCTCCAGGCAAGCAGAAAACATCCAGCTGCTAATCCTAAATCAAAGTCGAACTCACTGTAAAATAAGAGAGCAGAACCAGAGGCAAATGGCAGCCCCTCCCTTTTCTGGATCACACAAGGTAATGTGACTTTCAGCATTTTTGAACTCCAGGCCGTAATCACCTTGAGAATAGAGGCGGCTGGTGTTAGTCATGTCTAATTATAGGTGCTCTGTGCCATTTAGTTTCTAATGACGACTATTTTCCACATTGTGGTTGGTCAATTTGTCTCAATTTATCATCAAGCTTTCTCAATTAGTAGTAGTAATTATAACTCCAAAGTCAATAACAATATCAAAGCAAGGTTATGTAAGCCTCATAAAGTTATTAGGAATGAAAATGACTACAGACCTAGCAATTATTATTCACAGGCATCCAGTAGATTGGGGATGTAACACAGATCATTCACGAGGGTAAGAATGAAAAGTTTAGGATGGTGGAGGCAGGTGTGGTGGGGGCTGTGGACAAGATGATCAAAGTGTGGTTGCCAGCAGGCTCCCAGGCCTTTTGCTTGAAGATCACAGGTTCAAAGCCAGTCCAAAGTGTAGTAGCAGAGTAATTCTAGAAGGTTCTAAGTGATGAACAACTTTCAGCACTGTTCCTGCTGATCTCCCCTATAGGAACGAAAAAGAAGTGCAACCTCAGGCTGCAGGTAAGAACTCTAATCAGTGCTTTTGCTAATTAGTTTATGTAAGGAGAGGAAATGAGATTGTGTTGACCTGGCCAGCCCCTGCCCTTTTCTATGGGTATTTCTTAACCAAATCAAACTTTAGCCCACACCCTGGAAGGGCAAAGAAAAGGTATCATTGTTGGGTCACTCCCTGCTCTATTTTCTGAATCGACAGAGAACTTCCTGCTCTGGGGTTATAAATCTCCATTCTCTGAGAGTGTTTAAAATTACTTAAAGTCTACTGTCCACAAAGGGGCCTTATTCTTGAATTCTCACTTTCCATTCCTCTACATTATGAGTCTGACTCTCATTACAATTTGGTGACATATGTGTGCTTGTGTATACACATATGCACATATGACGTACAGATTGCTATTCTGTATATTCTGTATGAGACACACACACATATGTTTACATATGACTGTTTTAGTCAATGCAGGTTGCTACAACAAAATATCACAAAATAGGTGGCTTAAGTAAAACATACTCGTTTCTCAGTTTTGGAGGCAGGATCAGGTCTAGGGGGTCTTTCTCCTTGGGGTTACATGTGAGCCACCTTTTCACCCTATCCTCATAAGGGAAGGAAACGAGTGATCTGGTTCCTTCTCATGATTGTTCCATCATGAGGACTCCATTGCCATGACTCATCTAATCCCAGGTACCTACTAAAAGCCCCTCTCCAAAAACTATTACATGAAGTTTATGGCTTCAACACAAGAGATTTGAGGGGCACCATACACTCCGTAACAATGACAGAGCAAGTTTACATCAACATTGTAGATTAACATGATTATTTGAACTTTAGTCAGAAGTTTGGACTTTAACAATGAGGAAAAGCTATCACATTAGCTCCTGGAGAAATATCTGTAGGCAATGAGAACAATTTATGTGTTCAAACAGGTGTAGAGTGGAATGCCTTTAAGAACAAAACAATGACCCTTTTCCCCAAATGACTTGTTTTTAAAGTCTGTTCTTGTACATTTTCTATGTATGGAATCTGGATAAAGCAGGCAAAACCAAAAGTGCCAAGCTCCCCATCCCTCACCCAGCATCCCTGCTGATGGTGCCATGCATCAGCAGGACTCCAGACAGACTGTGCTCAGTCACCCCACTTGATGGGTGACCAAGGCTGACACTACAGAATGTGCGTGAAGATGGTGACCTACTTACTGTCTTACCCACTACAGTGAAGTGCTAACCAAAGGGACAGATGATTCCAATCAAAAGAGCCCTACTTCTTCTCTCACGCAAACTGAGAAGCAGAAAAAGTCCCACTTCTAGCTAACCAGCTTCCAGGATCCCATCCACCCTGAGTAGTGCATGCCTTCTAAGCTACTTTCCCCAAAGGATGTGTTATCCATGCTCTCTGAGTCCCTGGTACCAAGTTTAATTGTCGAAGCCAAGACTGCATTATATGTGTTTATACCTGTGACTTCAACAAGCTCAAGTTAATGAGCTAGACTACAAGTTATCAAACTATGTTGCTTTTTTTTTTTTTGACTGATTCTCCAGAGGGACTTTGCTGCCTGTTTTGTAAATAAAGTTTTGTAGAGACACCACCTAGCTCATTTGCTTATGTAGCGTTGATGGCTGCTTTTCCTCTACAATGACAGATTTGAGTAGGTGTAACAGATACCTTATAATCCACAAAGTCAAAAATGCATAGTATTTGTCCCTTTACAGAGAGTAAAGCTAATGCTAAAGAGAAACTCAAGGTCATTAACTCAACTTCACACACAGAGATCCCTTTTATAAACCTCTCCAGTTCTTACAAAACAGTCACTCCAACCAAAGCATGCAGGGAAAGGAAAATATTTGAGGAAGTGAATATAAAAAGAACTGTATTGTGTACTGTGTTTTCTAATTCCTTTCTGTTTACTTCTGCAAATGGTACTATCAGTATCCTTTTCACCTGTGACATCAATTAGAAGGATGCCCAGATTATTTTAAGGAACCAGGGACTTTTCCAATCTAACAAAGTCTTTCATCTCTTCCCTTTAAACCCTTTGTTTTTGTTGATACTTGTTGCTTGCCCTTTGTTTTCTCTCCCACTTCATTTTACCACTTCCTTGCTTCCCTTTCCTTATTGCCTGTGCCAGCACTGACAAACACTCTGGTAGCCATTGGGGAAAGGAGGCTTACAGACACTGGGGCCTGAATTTGTAGCTATTTTGCTCACAGAGCGTTTGACTCTGTGTTAGAAGATCTATGTGCAGGTTCCATCTCTGTCACTAGCAATGTGGCCCTGGGATGACTATACTAGAAAAAGTGGGCTGGCTATAGGTAATGACTTTTAAATCAATACTTCTAGGTTCTAAAGCATGAGACACATGCATGAGCAAATTTGTGAATCATAACTTTATATCTGAATGTTTATGAGTAAAATTATACTTGTACTACATAATTAAATTTCTTCTGTTATTTAGTGAACTCCTATTGGGTACCCACTGTGTGTGTTACAATAGGTTACCATAAACTGTCATAAGTAAATCTTAATGTTTCTGCAGCTTCTAACACATTTGTTGGGATAGGATGCAGGAGGCCTGGAACTCTTCATGTGGCTCCTCCCATATGGTGACATCACTACCAACACCTGTGGAAGGAGAAAGGAGGAAGGGAAGATTATGTGAAGGAGATTTTATGGCCAGACCTGGAAGTGGCAAGCATTGTATTCTTTTCCCTACACAACTCTAGTTTCATGTCAGATGGCCCCAAAGTGTAGGAGGAGGAATAGGCAGTAGAGTTTAGCTGTGAGTCCTGGAAGAGAGGAGAAAGGCTGGCAGCCTCTGTCCCCAACATATACTGATACCCCAGAGGGGTCACAGCGATGGACAAACCAGAGTTCCTGTGAAGATTCAAGTTAAAGCCAAGAACCTGGATCAGAGGGTAAGAAGTAGATCCTTTCTCTTGTCAAAATTTGTTTCTGATCCTCAAGTAAACTTCTGTAAATAATTTTGAGGTTTGTTGCTGGGAAGGTACACATGTTGCAACAAAATGAAGATCATTCCCTTTGTCTTTTAAAAAAGACTTTAATTGGTATATATCTTAAACTATTGTGCCAGGTATTAAGTATTTGTCTTTCCACTTCATTTTTTTTTCTTTTTTTGTGTACTGGGGATCAAACCCAGGGCCTTGTGCATGCTAGGCAAGCCCTAGTCTCTCCACTTCAAATACACTCTTGGGTGCCCTGCTTTGTGATAATGGGCTGAGACCACTCTCATTTCCCTGGAAGCTCTTTATTAGTTTGACAACAAGGGGCACTGAGAGGAAACAAAGTCTGGGAGAGGGCAGAGGGAATTTTTCCTCTCTGTGGCTAGTGGTTCCTTTTGTTACCATTCCCCAGAGCCCTAACAGTGATAGCTGGTGGCCTCCTCCAGCTTTTCTTCTGCTTTCCTAGACTTGGTGTCCCCTTAGATGCATCCAGACAGCACCCCTCCTCTGAGTCTGAGCCCCAGTTCTGCATGACCCCTCCTTGAGCTTTGAGGTACAGATAACACCAACATCTTTTCTCTGTGTCTACAGCTCATGGCTACCAGCTTCTGCCTGATGTTATTACAAATTTAGTATGCCTAATCCATAAATCTGAGGTCCTCCAAGTATGAAACTTTAAGCACTGACATGACACCACAAGTGGAAAATTCCACACCTGACCTGGTATATTACAATCAAATGTAGGTACACTAAAAATATTATATGAAATTATCTTTAGGCCCTATGCAGAAGGTGCATATGAAACACAGATGAGATTTTAGATTGCATCCAATCCCCACAGTATCACATATGTATATGCAAACATTCCAAAGGAAAACAAATCCCAACTCTGAAACAGCTCTCTGGTTCTAAGCACTTCATATGAGAGCTGCTGTAGGTACAGATGACCAAGGAGTTCACGAGTTGCTTGTTCAGCCCAGCATCTACACAGCAAAGTTCTGTTACCAACTTCCCTCTGTGGAAGAAACCACGGGACCCTGTCAGACACAGTCACTTTACAACTAAACGTGCTCATTCCCTGATGACCCTCGAACTTCATTAGCTCTTTCCAAGACCACTCCCAGTGTCCCCCAGGTTGCTGACCACCCTGCAAAATGCTGGTTAGTTCAGAAAATTACTCAAGCAAAAAGTTTTGCTTTCATTTCAGCATATGAAATTGATTTATTAATAGAATAAAAATATTGCCAACTGGCTAAGAAGAATTAGTTGCATTGTTTACACTCATAAAATGAAGGTCAATTACTTGTTGAAGTGAACATCTTCTGCATAGTTTAGAAAGGTCAAATACAAATTTGCCCATTCCCTCCCTTTTGGTTTGAAAACTAAAATCAGGTTTAATGCAAGCAATCTAAGAGATCTTAATGCAACAATCTAAGAGATCTTAATGTAAGCTTATAATCTTTATCCTAAAATTTCAACAGATAGTGATTAATGACTGTTGTCTATTTTATACCATGGAGATAGTATCAACATTTGATGTGGAACCCCTCCTCTGCACGCCCACGGATGTGTTAGTGCACATAGTGTGTCAACGTACATGCTCTTGTGCTCCGTTCCTGTTTGCATCAGGAAACTGTCTGCCTAGCCTCCCCTTGCTGGACCAGGTGTCCTGTGAGTTTCCACAGATATGGCCCCTATCCACCTAAAAATGTACTTAGCAGGCTGCACCAGGGATAGTACATTAATGGATCTCTGTTGCATTAAACCATGAATAATTTAGGTCATTGTCCTATTTAATCATCCTTGTAAATCCTGAACCTGACACACTACCTGGCCCTCAGATGCTCAGTGAGGGTTTCTTGAATGAAGATTTCGCCAGTTGGCCTACAGCCAGGCTCCCCAATTTCATGAGAAGAGTAAAACCCCTAGCTTAGTGCTGGTGAGCCTGGGAGTAATGAGTGTGCATCCCCCTGTAGAAAAGTTGTGAGGCTCCCTGGGTGGCCTATTGCACAGGCACCTGGAGTCCTGGGCTTCCTCAGCCTCACACTGAGAGCCAGGTGACAGAAGACAGGCTGCTGCCTAGCTGAAAGGCCACCATTAGTGCATGAACTCACACAAACCCATGAAGGAGCCTTTATGTACCCTCCTTTAGGACTTGAACGTGGATGAATGCTGATGGGCACTCTGTGCAGCAAGAGCACAATGTTTGGACTTCTCCCTCTCCTACCACCAACCTCAAAGGACCATGGATCATGGACTTTATCTGCCTCCAGAAACAGTAGGCTCCCCAATTTGCAGTCCCTGAGGGCCTGCTGGGAGTCAGCCCGATTGTGATGGACAGAAGCTGGGGGAAAGAGTGCTTTTCTATTTCTTTTGGCTGAAATGACCTAGTATGGAAAGCCCAGACCTGCCCGGTTTTGTCTTTGTGCCTAAGTGCTGAGTCCCTCAAGTAATTCCTTTTATTGCTCCAAGTTCCATATGAGTAATAGAAGCTGTTTTTGCAGACAGCTGCTTTGAGGGTTACGTGCACAGTTTTTAAAGTTGGTTGGGGTTTAGACTGCTATGACTGATATTTTTACTAATGTTAGAATTTAATTGAAATATTTAGTTTATTGGCACTAGTTAATCCAATTTATTTTTTCCTAGTTAAGGAACATGCCAAAAGCTGTAATTTGATCATTTTTATATGAACCAAAATAGATTTTGGCTTCAGGATGGGAGGAGTGACAAAGATTTTATTCCCTTTCAAAATTGGCCTGACAGTTTAACTAGCAAAGTTAACAGAAATGAGAAGAAAGAAATTTCATAGGAAAAAAAAAAGCTATGAAAATCCTGTGATGTTTTCGCAGAGACCAGCCTGGGCAGCTGCCTAATGCAATCTTCAGCCCAATGCAATCTTCAGCCCTGAGCGGGAGCCCTGGGCCACCTCTCTGTGTCGCTATATCTCTGTCCAGCACATCAGCAGTGCTGGGTGGTAACTGGGCCATCCTGAAGAGAGAATGTCAGAGTTCCTCGCCCTCTGTCCTCACAGGACAGAGGCTGTCCTGGAGGCTGGTGGGGTCTGGCAGTGTCACTCTGTTCCCAGCAAACTCCAGAAAGGCGCCTGCTGGATACCAGTGCTGCCAGGTGTCTTGCCCAGCTCCCTCCTCCTTCCCTTGCTAGCACTGCCTCTCAGCCTCAGGGTGAGTGAGCTGCCTCTCTCACTGGTAAGCTTCCCTGTTAGCCGGCTTTCAGGTGCTGCAAAAAAAAAAAAAAATACCTGGACAATCAGCTTATAAAGAAGAAAGATTTATTTTAGCTTACCATTTGGGGGATTTCAGGCCATGATTGATTGACCTGTGGTGGGGCAGCACACCATGGTGGCAGTGAGTGATAAAACTGGTCACCTATGGCTGAGATATGAAAAAGAGAGGAAGAGAAAGGGGCTGGGGTACTAATATTCCCTTCAGGGGCACTCACCCAATGACTGGAAGACCTTCTACTAGGTCCCACCTTTTAAAGTTTTCACCACCTTCCCATTGTGCCAAGTTGGGGACCAAGCCTTTAACACGTGGCCCTTTGGGGGACATTCCAGATCCAAACTATAGCACTTCCATTCAGCCAGAATCCACTGCCCACGTGGTAGGCCAGGTTCTGACTAAGGGAAGGAGGTGGTGAGCAATGAGAAAAAAGGCACAATGCTTACCCTCAAAAAATGTAGCTGGACATTTAATACACACTTACATCAAATTTTAAAGTAGTTTGGGCGTTATATAGCAATCCAAGACAATCACACAAAAGATGTCACTGGAAATTATATGATCAGTTACAACATAAGTGGCATAGATGCAAATGAAATCTCTTGGGAGACAGACAGTGGCCTTCAGATAACTGCTGCAGGCCTCACTGAGGACACTGCTTACAACAACTTTCTCATGAGTGGCCCCACATCCAATTCTTTCATTCTTGGTGTATCAGGAAGATATGTCCGGCTAGGTGACATCAGCCCATTGTCACAATTGCCACAGTCCAGTCTCCACAACCACCACCATTGACAACATAATCATTGTCACCACCACTACCACTTGCTTGAAACATTTACCCATGATGCCTCTCCACAGGCCTGTGATCTGTGTGAGCCGGTTTTGTTCCATCCATCAAGGCCAAGGCCCCAGTTTTCCTGCTCTTGGCTATGGTGACATCTTTTGGTGATACCAGGATCTTGAATTCAGGGCTTCATGCTTGCTAGGCAGTCACTCTACCACTTAAGCCACACTTCTAGTCAGGCTGCAGTGACATCTTTTAAAGAACAGACTTGAACATTGTTGCCTGGGTTCAAATTCTGGCTCATTCCCCAACTTATCTCATGTGGTTCCTATACTTTAGCAGTAACTAAGCCAGTCTTATTTTCTCCTTCCTTACAGATATTAATTATCAATAAAACAAAATATGTAAAGGACTTGGAGTTTCTTACATCAAGGGGAGGAGAGCACTTCATAAACACACAGGATCATTGTCCTCATGAATCCTTGGACTTCATAATTTTTTTTTTACATGAAACACAGCAAGTGCTTTAATCAAAATCCTCTTACTCTAACCAAAATCACTCCAAATCTATCCAACCAAAAGAATACTACACTTGCAGTGAACATGCCTGCCTGAGAGGGAGTAGGGTGGGACCAG